GTATTTAGGCTAAGAGATTATCCTTCCATGGGGGAATGTGCTCCCAAAGTCCATTCATGCACTAAAAATAAATACTGGTTCCACCAAATGAGGCCTCATAGTCTGCCCAGGCCTCCTAACTGTCACCCATGTTCAGAGGGCCTGGTTTGATCCTGCGTTCCTGGGGTCCATGAGCTCTCACTTCTTCAGGTCAGCTGTTTTTGTGGGTTTCCCCATTGTGGTCTTGACCCCTTTGCTCATCGCTCCTCCCTCCCTAGATCTGGATTGCAGGAGTTCTGCTTGCTCAGTGTTGAGCTGTGGGTGTCTGCTTCTGCTTCCATCAGCTACTGAATGAAAGCTCTAGGATGGCATATAAGGTAGTCATCAATCTCATTATAGAGGAAGCACATTTAAGGTAGCTTCTCCACTATTGCTTAGATTGTTAGTTGGGGGTCATCCTTGTGGATTTCTGGACATTTCCCTAGTACCAGATTTCTCTTTAAACCTATAATGGCTTCCTCTATTAAAGTATCTCTTTACTTGCTCTCCTCTATTCATCCCCCAAATCAATCTTCCCGATCCCTCTTGTTCTCCCACCCCCTCTTCTCCCCTCCTCTTTCTCCTATCTCCCTTCTCCCTCCACCTGTGTCCCAATTTGTTCCGGAGCTCTTGTCCCTTTCCCCTTCTCAGAGGGACTATGTATGTCTCTCTTAGGGTCCTCCTTGTTTCTTAGCTTCTCTGGAGGTGTGGATTGTAGGCTGGTAGGCTGGTAATCCTTAGCTTTAGGCTTAATAACTATATATGAGTGAGTACATACCATGTTTGTCTTTCTGTGACTGGGTTACCTCACTCAGGATGGTTTCTTCTACTTATATTTGCCTGCGAATTTTAAGATAAAATCTGTTTTTACTCAACATTTTTATCAATTATTTTGGTATTTTGCCAATGGGAATGTATTCTTAAAACCATACAAATTCTCTTTGGGGTTTTAATATTAGAAACTAGGTTAGATATATGGGAACTTGATGTACCAGGTTAATGTTACAATAGCTGAAGGATAGGATACTATTTAAATAACTAAATCTATCATCTTATTTGTTATCACTTCTTCTGTGATAATAGTGAATGCTTAAACAGTAACACTTAGACTAGACTTTCTGGATCATATTTAGCTTCCTTTTTAAAATTAAACAAACTGTAACACAAAAGGAATGTTGTAATATATACACATATATAGATTTCTATAATATGTTAAGGTTCCATTTGCTATTGTGCTGAATACCAAAATATGAGCAATTAAATGACCAACACTACAGGGGAAACCATTCCTCAATAGGAAAGAACAAAAACAGTTTTACTGAAGATTTGCATCTCAATTTCTTTCAAGGAAAGCTTCTCAATTAATTCATGAAAATGGGGAGAAGTATTTATAATCTATATACATCCCACTTTGCACATAATATTAGAGTTTGTTGCTTACGAGAAGTTAAATTTCTACTCAGATTCTTGCGCATGATATTTACTTCCACAAAATCTGTCTGTCTGTCTGTCTGTCTGTCTATCTATCTATGGTGTCTGAATTAATGAATCTAAGCTACCATAATAATATATCAGGCATTTTATGGCTTGAACCACAGAAATCCATTTTTTTTTCTGTGTTCTGCAGGATGCATATTTGAGACTAGGGTGCCCATGTGATTGGGCTCTGGTGAGGATCTCTTCCTGGAAGATAGACTATGGTTTCTCATTATGTGCTCACCATGCTCTCTGCTTTTTAAATAAGCAGAAAAAGAGGAAGTGTGCTGCTGGCCATGTCTGTTCTTATGAAAGCACTAATCCCTCCATCAAAATTAACCTCCATGACCCCACCTAACATTATTATATCTCCAAATAACAGCACATCAGTTTCAGACTATGAATTTTGGAGAGATAGAACTCAGTCCCTAAACCTCACTAATTTCTAATAGGAGATACGTTATTTTTCAAAAGCACTTTAGCTGTTTTATTCAAGACATTTCTCATAATGTAAAGGATTGTCCCCCATCTTCCTGAAGTACATGGGCATGGATAAATGGATTAAAAAAAAAAAGCTGAATATAAGCTTAAGTAACTTATTTGAGATAAGACATTTAATTATTATAAAAAGAATCACTCAAATGTTGTCTATGCTCTTATACATCATGGTATAATACTTTAAATTTTACTATAACAGTTAAGTTAAAGCTTTAATGAAATGATTTTTTTAGCACAAAATTACTTCATGTTATGTTGTGGAAAGAGTAATTTTAAGAGAATAAATTCCATTATTTTTTAGTGTGCATTTCTAAGTGTAAGCATCTATACTTCTCAGCATATCTGAACTGTGGTAGAATATTGTTTTAAGGTGTGTGACTTTTGTTTATGCTGCAATTGTTTAACTCAGTGAAGCTGTGATTCTTTGCGTTACATCTGATGGTCTAATAAAGAGCTGAACATCCAATAGCGAGGCAGGAGCAAGAGTAGGTGGGGCTGGCAGGCAGAGAGTATAAATAAAAGCATCAAGAGACCATGGAGAGGAGGATATCAAGGGTCAGCCACTCAACCGTTGAAATAGCTTCGGAGGAAGAAAGGAAGAAAGTTAAAAGCCCAGAGAAAAAAGGTAAATAGGATGATACAAGAAAAGCTAGCTAGAAGCAAACCAAGCTAAGGCTGGACACTCATAACTAAGTGTGTGAGTAACTTGGGTGCTGGGTGGTGGGTCCCTTAAAGAGCCAAAAAACAAAAACAAAAAACCCCCAAAATACCTACAACTACATTTGGCATGATTAGTGGAGAAACTCATGAGGTTCTACCCCTCCCTGATTTCCCTGGTTTCTGGCAGTTTGTAGTTTTCTGAGGGAGAGGGTGCCGTATTTTTTTTCACTGCTGTATTTGATGATATATTATTTATGACTTATAAAGCTTGCTTGAGGATTCAGAAAGCAAAATCAGCCAAAAACTGTAGAAGCCAGGCACATACAGTTAATTCCAGGAGCCAGAAGTTAGAAGGTGGTGGTAGCACTCAGGATTGAGATCTCTGTGAGTCCAAGGCCACCCAGATCTACACAAGATTGATCCAGTCCTAATGAGAAACAGCTCATGTCTTTGATCTCAGCACCTGGGATCACAGGCCTTTAATCCCAGAACTAGGAAGGTATGTAAAACAGGAGATAGGTCTCAGTATCAGGCACTCATTCTCCAGCCATGTTGAGAATAGGAACACCCCAGCCCTGTTAGAGGTAAGAGCTCTCTGATGGGTTGGCCTCTTTGCTTCCCTGATCTTTAGAGTAAACCCCAATATCTGTTTCTAGGTCCTTTACTTTTTTGTGTGTTACAGCTGTAGCCATTGATAATTTGCCTTTGCTCCACTAAATAAGTTCCCACCCATGCCCAGGAAAGAAACTGATTAAGCTTAATGAGTCTCACATGCAATAAAAGACATGAAAAGGTGTTTGCTGAGAAGATTGCTGAAAAATATCTGATAGAGATGAGATAAAGAAAGGGCAGGATAAAAATGACTAAAATCCATTAATTAGAGCTAAAAAATAATATGCTGATTCCATATTGTAATTATTAACACATTTTCATTTTGGAAAGTGGGCATTGGTATAGGTCCAACAAAAACTACAAAGAACTACAGTGTCATGTATTAAACACAGCATATCAAAGCACACCAATTTCTAAAGAAATTGAGCAGTTACTGATTTACAAGTATGCAGCTATTAGTCCTTTGATAAGGAAGATATATCTAATCCCTGAGATGGTTAGACATGTTATTGTGTGCTTGGAGCGCAACATTATTCTTGATTTATTTTTCAAAACTATAGCAGAATATCTAAGAAGGACAGGAGCAGTAGGAATGAGTATTCACATGGTTATTCTACTTATTTTGTTTTTAGTGGGAAAATTCATTTGTGATTGCTCTGAGAGTAGTACTATTTTTCAGTGAATTAAAAAAAATGTTCATTGGGAATAATTAGATAGAATGGCATTGTATGTTTCTATTAGCCAAAAGGGGATTGTGACAACTGTGCATTTTGAATAATGACACAGAATAAAGATACAGTAGCTAAGATTTCTGAAATTGCCTTTGATGAAATCTCTCCTCATGCTAGTGGAGAAATTTTCACACAGAAATAAAATATGTTAAATTTAGAAATACAAAAGTTGTGGTCATTTCAGTTACCAAGCAAATTCAACTACTTGAAAGAAAAACAAATGTATTTTACTTCTTTCTTTTTCAACATAGCTTGGAGATCATGTAACATTATATAGTAAAAATGAGATACCAACTTAAAAGGTTGGCATTAATTATTTCTATAAAATAAGAACATGGTCCAAAAATGATAAATTCAGTTTATATAATTAACAGTAATTTAAAAGCTAAAACAAAAGATTTAAAAAGACATATATCCAAGCTTTGATCTGCCTCTTAGCTTTATCATAAAGTAAATATAACAGTACCTGTTTAAAAGTAGTAGTTATCAGGAATAGATGTGTACATAAAATTTAAAATATATTTTACATAATAAATATTTAGTATATTCTAGTTTCTATAAAATTGTAAAAGAAGGGACCTAAATGTGCCTAATACAAATTTGTTGAAAATCCTGAAGTTGTGTAAGAACAGTATAAATATCATTTTTATTCAGAATTAGAAAGCTAGCAGTATGTATCTATTTTACTTAACTGACTAAATTTGCACCACAGTGTTATATGAAATAAAGAATAGCCATTATGGATGCAGTATTGACAATCAAGTGATTACTTATATTAAAAATGCTTAAAACCAACAGATTACACATTGAATTTTACATGGTGCATTGTTTTTAAATTGTGCTGCAATTTCTGTTAGTCACACAACTCCTTTAAAGAAGTTGCTCTATGAAGTAATTGGAGTTTTACAAACTCATTCCTAATGGATGAGTTGAATAGGAAAAAACCTCAAATGCTAGTAAACACATAGGAAAAGGTGGATAATCAGATTGTTTTATTTGTTTCAGATTTTCAGACGATGCTGGTTGGTTTTTAAGAAGGCTTCTAGCAAGGGACCCAGAAGACTAGAAAAATTTCCAGATGAAAAGGCAGCTTATTTCAGAAACTTTCACAAGGTAAGTCACATGTGCAGAAGTCCCTGGGGAACAGCTGGGCTCTTGACAACTTGCAGAGACATTTCTCTGATGGATGACATCTACAGAAGGAAAAATTCATGGCCAGGATAAAATGCTCCTGTTCTGATAAAATGCAAAAGTTATTTTTCTTCCTTATCGTAATCATTTGCTGTAAATCCCAGGTATACTTCTGCAATATGAACAGCTCATTTTTATGGCGACTTTGCAAAATTAGATGAGTCATAACTTAACTAGATGTATTCTAATGTGCTGAGTGGGCACTTTTCCTCTCTTCAGGTTAATTGTGCTTTTGCTACTCTGATTTAAACTATAGGCAGCAGTTAGGAAATGACATTTATCAGACAAGCTTTAGCAATGTTAATGACACTGTTAATATAGATAGCATTAGCTGTTTACTCAGCACATTAACAAGAAGTAATCATTAAATACGCTGGTAGGTAGATGCTACATAAATTCCAGGAGTGAAATAGCAGCTTCCTAATAACTACAAGAATATAGAATATGACCTGAACTTATCTTTGGTGATAATTTCAAACCACTGTATGTAGAACTATGAAATTGTTTACCCTGAATACCATGGCCTGAATAAGCTCAATACAGACTCTAATTCCTCATTTAGCAACTTACACAGTGACTCATGGAGAATAATGTTGATAAAATGAATTTTTATCATTTTACATGATATTAAATTTTATTCTACCCCATTTTGTTAACTATATGTTGTTTGATATTAATCAGCTATATAACCCAACTATAAAATAACTACCAACAATTTTATTATCTCTAAATCTGATCAGATAGCATGAAACTGAAGTTGTAACACTTTGTGAGGTTTTTCCATATTAATACTGATTTACTCCCAGAAAAAAACAATTTTGGTTTTATGTTCAATAATTTACCAGTTTGTGGAGATTTTGGTTTTCTCATCAGTGAATGCCTATTTAACATATTGCATGTCTCTAATGATAATTTGAGATGTTATGTTATAAAATGACCAACATAATTCTGCCTGTTTTGGTCATATTAAAAAGGATCTGTGTTCTAAAGTGTCATTGGTATTGTGTATCATGAAGATCAGATTTGTTTTTAAATAACTTTAAAGTAGACTTATGAATAATGAAATTAATGGTAGTGCTGTCTCTATCACCTACTGAGGAGTGGTCATCTCTAAAAGGCATCTAAATCAGTTCTTGCTTATCTTGTTATTGTTTTGTTTTACTTGTTTATTATGATCGTGGTCTCTTGTTCCTTAATTATTATTGTTACACATACATAGCTATATCTTGATTTCATTTATTGTTCCTCGTGTATATTTGTGATTGGAGCTCACTTTGGGGGATTGGAGAAAGTATCAGGGGCTTGTTCCTGGAACAGACTGAGTACCTCTCTCTTAGCTGTCATTAAATGGTCATAACTTTCTATCTAGGGGTGGGACCTTGTTTCGTTTTTGAGACTATGTTTTATTATGTAGATCAGGTTTGTCATAAACTTGGCGTCCTCTCAATTCAGTTACTCAGGTACAGGAATTACAGTCATGAATCATCACACCTGACACTCCTCATTTTATATAAGCTGACTTTTTCAACTTCAATCTCTTTTTGTACTACATTGGAAATCTCTTCATTTCCACTGTGAACAGTTGGTTTGAAAGAAAATATTAGTCTCTCAGCTATCCTGACCATTAACATGACCTAGAATTAAAATTCATTATGTGCTTGATTTTCTTAACCTTGTTAAATAAGTACGATTGCTTTCTGCATTGGCAGAGAAAAATTATTAAAGAGTACATCTGTTTACCATTGGTCCTAAGCTTAAATAACTAGGAAAGTATAATGAAAATAGTTTTACTCTAAAAGAGGATCAGAATGAAAGAAGAACGACTATAGCTTGATGTGACTAATATGAATGAAGGATTAGAAATAGTAGCCCTTAAGAATGTCAAAGATGAAGTGGAAGAGCATCCCATAAACAAAGACAAAACACCTGGTACAAGAAATTGAGGTAGAGACACTCGGTTTGCCTAAAGATCAAAGAGAACTGTTTGAACCAAAGTGTGGGAGAAAAGATTAAAAACAAATAAATACCTGATATATATCCCACAATTGATAGAAATGTATAAAAGGGATTTAAACAGGAAAGTGTATCATATAACTATTGTTAAAATGCCTATGTTTTTCCTTCCATTTCCTATATAAAACAGTAATCCCTAACTATAATCCTCCCACGAACACCAAAATACAAAATCAAATAGGTAGTATATTGGTTTGGCATCTTAACAAAAGTACTTTGTAAGGGGGAATCAAATGAGTTGCCAAAACAAAATGTCCCTGTTCCGACAGGGGCAGATGCAATCATAGGGACAGTAGTAATGGCTCTGGCACTGGCAGACTCACTCTCACAAGACCACTGGAAAGCCTAGAGGGACTGGTTAAGTTGGGCTATCAAAGAGTAAAAAAGACACACTTCAAAAGACATAGCCAGAGAAAGATACCCTTATAGACACACATATGCTTCCTTGTCAAAAGTCAGGTGTTCATAGGTGTATGGATGAATATTAGGTCATCAATTCCATTGATCCATGCATCTGTTTTTATGCTGATACCAAGTTGGGTTTTTGTGTTTTTTGTTTTGTTTTGTTTTGTTTTGTTGTGTTTGTTTGTTTCTATAGCTTGGTAGTAGAGCTTGAAGTCAGAGATTGTGATGCCTCTGGAAGTTCCTTTATGTACAGGATTGTTTGGCTATCTTGGGTTTTTTTTCCATATGAAGTTGAATATTATTCTTTTAAGGTCTGTAAAAAACTGTGTTGGGATTTTGATGGGGGTTGTATTGAATCTGTAGATTGTTTTTGGTAAGATTGCCATTTTTACTGTGTTGATTCTACCTATCTAAGAACATGGGAGATCTTTCCATTTTCTAATATCTTTAGTTTCCATCTGTTGCAGGGGTGCTGGCAGTGGGATCAGTACCTATCCTGGGTGCATGAACTTATATTTTGGAGCCCATTCCCTGTGGATGTCTCCAGGATACCTTGTTTAGCTTTCATAACAGGGGAGTGGGGCCTGGACCTTCCTCTACGTGGTATGCCAAACTTTGTTGACTCCCCCAAAGAAGGCCATACCCCCTCCGAGGATGGGGGGGGCAGGAAGAGAGGGAACTGGGATTGAAAAAAGTTTAAATTGAAAAATGAAAAAAAGGACACACATATTTAGTATAAGGCCATGGGTGACAGTGAGCTAGACAGGATATGGCAAACTGAGATCACTCCTAGCTGAGGCTTGAGATTCTTGCCTAAAGCATAAGCCACAGGCCACCACAGATAAAGCTATTGACAATACAGTCTAAGGATGTAAGTCACAGCAATGCTGTAGAGCTGAGCCATCTCAAGGAGATACCATGCAGTAAAAGGGCAAAAGAATCCAGAAATGAGAAACCTGAAACCACATCATTTGTGAATTGCTAGAAAGGAGTCTTACATTATATTTTATTTAACTGTTTTCTTTTATAATAATTGGCCCTTATATATTTATTTTAGTGTTTTAACTGAGATAGAAATGTCTTTCACCTTTCAGTATTTAATTTTGTTTTTATTCTTTTGGCATTTTGAGTCTTTATGGGGGTCTTTTGAGTGTCCCACCACCCAGCTCCCAAGTAAATCACACAAGGAGGCTTATTAGTTATGAGTACCCAGCCTTAGATTGGCTTGCTTCTACCTTTCCCCTCTGGACTTTTATCTTTCTTACTTCTGCGTATCTTACTTTTCTTCCTACTCTGTGGCTGAATGTCTGACTGTGGCTGATGTCCTCCTCTCCTTGTCCTCTTGTTCCCTTCTCTCCTTCTATTTACACTTTTTATCTTTCTCCTTTTATTTATACTCTCTGCCTGCCAGCCCCACCTGCCTCGTTATTGGCTGTTCAGAGCTTCATTAAACAGGCACAGTAACACAGCTTCACAGAGTTAAACAATTACAACATAAACAAAATCACACATATTAAGATAATAGTCCCCTACACTTCAGTATCTTCCTTTCTACCTGCCAGGTCCTATCAACTTAAATCTCTTCCATGATCCACTTCAAATTGATAGCCTCTTGTTCTTTCTAATTACCTTTGTCAATAATATCCCAATGCCAGTACATGACAAAGCTTTGAAAGAAAGCTACTTACATTTTCTGTAAATTGAAAATCTCTTAGCAAACTATTAACAAATATAATTAGTAATATATGAAAACTCACAATAAGTAGCAGACTTTTTTTTTATTTTAATGGCATAATTAGCAATAAAAGATGAAAATATCACAGGACCATTTAAATTCAGAAAAAAGCATTTGTCAAAATTCAACCTGCATTGATTATGCACAGCTCTCAAGAATAGTACAAGCTTCAACAATTTGGAAGTGCTTCTAACAGGATCTTCCCAAAGAAAAAGAAAAATGCTTTCTATTCTTAGATGACATAATTATTTGTTGTAAATGCTTGTTAAACTAGAAATACTGAAACAAATGAATGCAGTGAACCATAGGCATGGAAATTTTAGTATAAAAATCAATTGCATTTTTTACATGGTAGCAGATAAACTTGGTAAATTGCATTGTTAAAAAGAACTGATTTAATAATAGTGCCAATAAATAATAAGTGAATATAAAATCCTCCATGCTGAAAATTATGAAAAGTATCTTAGAATGAAGGAAAGAAGGCAGATATATGATGTCACTAAGTTGTCATTGTCTCAAAATTGACATGTAGTCTACATAATTCTACTAAGAAATTTAAGGCTATTTTTTGTAGACATTGACAGGATAAACTTCACATGGAAATGTATATAACATAGATTAATCAAAGCAAGCTTAATGCAGAAGAGCAAAGTTGAAGTTGTTAGGACATTCTAAAATTACAGAAATCATGGCCATTTGTTATAAGTGAGGAGCTGTAAGCACAGATCAATGGAAGTTAATGGAAAAGGTCAGCAGCAAATCCAAGACT